TTTGGTGTAGTGGTTAAGGCACCAGGCTAGAAACCGGGAGACTGTGAGTTCTAGTCCTGCCGTGGGCACGAAGCCAGCTGTGTGATCTTGGGCCAGTCCCTTTCTCTCAGCCCTTGGAAGAAGGCAATGGCAAACCACTTCTGAAAACTTGCCAAGAAAACTTCAGGGACATGTCCAGGCAGTCACCAGAAGTCAACATTGACTTGAAATGATGATTGATGATGATGATGATGATGATGATGATGATGATGATGATGATGATGCCTTTAATAGTTGAACCACTAGAGACATGGCCTCTGGGGTTTGACTGCCCAGGCACCTGTAGGCCTTATGTTGCCAGCTCTGATACTTGGTCAGATGTTGTTTTGCATCAGAATAATCTCTTGCTCCTTTCCTGTGGCTTGTCTTCATTTGAATAAATGAAGGGAAAGAGCTTTTGGTTTTCATATTGTTAAACAAAGTCAGAATCCAGTCCTCATCTACAGTACTGTATTGTAATTCCCCAGAAATCCAGAGAAAAAACTTGTCTAGCTTACGTTCAGGGTGAGTTAGCAGCATAGGGCATGCCTGTGGCTGGTTATAGTAGTGGCAGTCTTGTTGTGAAGGAGCCCAATGTTTTCTGAGCTGGGTGTTGGTACCCTTGTTGCTGCAAATTAACAGAGCTTGAAACAGCAGCCCAGGAAGGCAGCCTTGAGTAGACAAGCAAAGATTTCCACACAACCTACTAGTGGATTAGAAGGCTGCCTGGATTTTTGGCCCCTGGTGACATCTGCCTCCATTGTGTGCTTTGCTGAATCAGGTGTCTTTCTTTATATCCTAGAACCAAGATGAACACCTGCATCATTTTTGCAGATTGCTGGGCGTGGAGCACAGCCAGATGGAGCACTGGCTTTGCCATCGGAAGCTGGTCACCACTTCGGAAACCTACACCAAGAATATGTCCCTCCAACAAGCCGTTAATGCCAGGAACGCGCTAGCCAAGCACATCTATGCTCAGCTGTTCAACTGGATTGTGCAACATATCAACAAGGCCCTGTACACGACAGTCAAGCAGCATTCCTTTATTGGGGTGCTGGACATTTATGGGTGAGCAGCAGGCTTTTTGGGATTCTGTTCCTCTGTCCCTTTCAGAGTCTTGCTTTCGTTTGCTCAGAGTGGGACTGGCATTCCTGGGTATTTCTTGCTTGGCAGGGCAGTCTCTAGGCTGTGGAGTTTTGTGAGCTGTGGTGCGTCTCATTCTTCTTACTTGCCAGAGCATAGGAGGCACACTTGGAATTCGCATAGCGTTCCCTAGGAGGAGTCTCAGATGCTGGCTCAAAGGGAATGTGTGGGTGTGTTGCTGTTTTCAAATTCTGTAAAGCAGAGCTAGAGACAGACCGACTTCTGTGAAGTTTTCTGAAGGCTGCACAACTTCCATGGAGGTGCTTAAGCATCTTTCTATGTGCAATAAGTTGTGCTGTGATCATAGAGACTGCTCAGTCCCTCTCTGCGTGAGGGAAAAGGGTCTGTTGTGTCCCCAGTGTCAGGAGTGTCAGTTCTCACACACAGTGAAAATCAACATGATAGCAGCAGATGCGACCGTTGCAAAAAGAGACGGATGGGAATCATCCCATGGAGAAGAAGAGGCCGAACAGTCTGTTACATAGGGTGGAAACAAGAACGAGGTGCAAAAGCACTATTGTTTTAAATATAGGTTCTTGCTCTTGGAAATACCGCAAGTTGCTACGATTCCTTAGTTATGGCTTCCTAAAAAACCTTAGCTTTAATAAAGATTATTTATTAAGAGTTCTTGGATTCTTAGGAGCTTGTCGAAATGATCCCAGCTGTTGCTTGATAGGTGAAGAATGATTCAGAGCTCAGGAAGCTCTTGAGGAGGACTATGATAAAACCAACTGATGCGTCAAGCCACTCATAGCTGTTGAAAGCTAGGTTCCCCAGAGTTACGTTAATCAGATTTGTTGAAAGGAAAAGAGGATAGACTACAGAATCCCAGAGATATGCACCCTATTCTTAGTGAGGATGTTAAAGTGGGACATCCTTGATGCATTCTCATCCTCTCGATGCAGGAGAGATGTCGCTATCCAGCACATCTGTTTTAATGCTTCACTATTTTTCAAGTGTTGATTCTGGTTCCGAGGCATAGAGAATGCCATTCCATGATGTTTCCTTGTGGAGAATTCCCCTTTCCCTTCTCTGTCAGCATGACACACAAACGTTTGTTGATGCCATTTGGTAGAAAAACATCTTGTGTTTTGATTGCTGAGATCCGGATTCTAAGGACGCAGTGTGATTCAGATGAGTGACTTTGGGAAGAGTTGTGTCAGAATCTCTGGATGTTTCAGTGCATGATGTCATGCAGTAGCGGGAAGCAACTGGATTCCCACCGATTCGACAGCAGATAGGAATCAGATCCATTAAAGAAAAGTCCAAATCAAAGTTGTTGAGAAGAATGCAAGGCAAGTGTATTAAGCTGTATCTCAAGAAAGACATTTTGTTAATCAACTTCAAAATAGGGGATTGGATTTCCATTACAGCAACTTGCTTACAAACCATAAAAGTTAATGGTATTATCTTAAGCTTTCAGTTCCCTTGGCTGGTTACAGTTAAGCTGTTACACTTGAGGACAGAGGTTTGCTTAATCTGATAAAACTGAAAAAAAGGGGGATGTTTTAAGTGAATGTGCCTGTGTTAAATAAGAATGTAGAGTTACATGTGAACCTCCTAAAAACGACAATACAAAACTATTTTAAGCCCTTTATCTATAGGGTTCAGTGAAAGCAGTCTGCTAGTTATGTTTTTATCTTCTGATAATCTTTCATAGTTGAATCGAAAGAATCTCATTTTTTTTCCTTATGATTCTTCATCATTTCTTTTGTATCCATAGGTATTACTTATCTATAGATCTTGCTCAGGATTTTGGCATGTCAAAAAAAAATCTATTCAAACTTGGCTCATGAGATATTTTGATGGGCTTGTGCAGCTGCCTTGAAATGCTATAATTATTTTTTGATTGGGGAAAAAGTGAGATGTTGTCCAATGAGGGATGTGTTGGCAAACAGTTCATTCCAGGATTGGTCTTCATATGGTAATAATGTTAGAAGGTTGAGAAGCGTTTAAAATTTTCACCAGTGCCCTTGATTCTGTCCTTGTGTCGTTGTGAGAAATTTAAAATTGTGGTTCCTATGAGTCATTGATATTTGGAATTAGGGTAGACTTCCAGAAGACAATGGGTGATGGAACTGGTGAAGATGTTAGCCTTAATCTTTCTTCCCCAATATAATGTTCTCCAAATGGGTTGGAATTTCAGCTCCCAGAACTGCATCCTGTGATGGTCATCTGTGCATCTGTAGGTGGCTGAATTGGGAAAACTGGGTTAAGCTCTTACTGATATTTCCAAACTGGAAGTAATTTTTATTTATTGACCTCTTTTTAATAACTCCAATCAGATTCCCAGGGTGGTTTATTAAAATAATACAATAATTAATCTGTAAATATTAATGAAATATTTTTAGAAACTATTCTGTGAAGCCTTTATCTAAGAATATTATTTTGTTTTGCAGGTTTGAAACCTTTGAATATAATAGCTTCGAACAATTCTGCATCAACTATGCCAATGAAAAATTACAGCAGCAGTTTAACCTGGTAATTTGGGTTCTCAAATTTGTTTTAGTAACTTTGCGGGTGGGCCAAAGAATAGAAAGGCATCCAAAATTGGCCGTGCCTTGACTAAAATGTTTTAAGAATGCAGTAAATATAGGAACAATTTTTTGGGGCCCAAATGTTCATGAAGTTTGTCTTTTAAAAGGGATTAACCCACTCTATTTATATTACATAGAACTGCTTATTAAAAAGCTAAGAAATTTTTTATGAACTCTGTTGACCAGATGGAATTTGTATGAGTACCCACTGTGAAAATGCGTTGATTTGCAGGAGGGGCCAAATTATCTCAGCTGAAATCCTTTTAAATAATATTTCAGATTAGGAATCCTAATATATTTGTATTATATAACTGTATAATACGTTTATGAGCAAGCTAGATATTTTCCTTTAACATAACTCTTGAGAGTTCCTCAGCTTTCATCAAAGTAAACAGTATCGGAAATTAAATTCCCAGAAAAAGAAAATTAAATTTCCTTTAATTTAAGAAAGGCAGATTTGTAAATGATGCACTACAGTTCCTACTCCCTTTTTTAAAAACACTAAAATAAAATCCTTACCCGTATATTCCCAGTAAGAGACAGTCTCCACTCTCCAAAGTTCTGTAGGTTTTAGCATTGCCTGTGGCTTTTTGAATAATTTCCAGTGTTATTTTTTTTTTAAGACTCCAGTAATTTTCTGTGAAGTAACTCATTTTGCTTTCTGTTGACTCTGCCCACGTTAATTAAAAAGTCCCTAAAGGCAATTTTTCATAGCAACCCATATTGTATCTGATTGACAGAGAGGATGAAATATTTATTTTAAAATATTCATCAACTCGTGCAAGAATTCTGTTTGCCGCTACTTGTTTTCTTAATAGCCTAATACATTATGTCTTCATATCCTTAGAAGTGGTTGGTTTTACAGCAATTGCAGTTCAGCTATTATTCATGCATGATCTCAAATTGTTAACATTCCTACCCTTATACATAAAGTAGTTTTCATGCATGACTTTGATTTTTATTTTATTTTGCATTTACTGGAATAGAGTATATAATCCCTCATCTCCAAAATTGAACTTGACTATATATTAGGACTATGCAGAGACCACTCAACCTTTGAGGGTCAGATCTGAGGCACCAGGAATAGTCTATTCAGCCCCAATCTGGATGTAAATATCTGAGTTTGTCCCTCTTGATTCTTTGTCTCTCTTTCCCTATATGTTATAGGTAGTCCTTGGTTTATGTCCGTTTGTTCAGCCACCGTTCAAAGTTACGGCAGTGCTGAAAAAATGTTGTATGACCGGTCCTCAAAATTCCGGCCACTGCAGCATTCCCGCAGTCACATGATCATGATCCAGGTGCTCATGTGCCCGGTTCGCGATTATGACATTGTAAGGAGCCACAGTCACGTCGTCACCATTTGCAACCTTCCCTACTGGCTTCCCACAAGCAAAGTCAAGGGAGAAGCCAGCAGGGAAGATCACAAGTTGCTCTGGTAAGTTCCCGTGGCCCCCCTGCACTCGTGCAAGCCCTGCATCAGGCCTCCCAGGGCCTCCCTCACTCTTCCGCAGCACCCCCCACCTCACCCCAACCTCCTTGCCTGGGACTCTCACCTCTTTCTGCTTAACAGCCTGCACATCTTGGGGTTACGACAACAACTGGGACTGCTTGAGATTGCCATCACTAAGCAATGCAGTCACATGACATCGCTCTTTACGACTGCATTGCTTAGTGACAGCGATCCCAGTCCCAATTGCCATTGTAATCCAAGGACTACCTGTATTATAAAATACGTCAGGTTCAGCCCAAAGAACTCCAAGAGACAATGCAAATACAGTTCTGTTGCGTTTATTAGCTTCAACCTCCAGACA